CTGTGAGAACAAGAGGAGCAGGAGCTTGTCAATGTGGGTTTACAGTTGGCATCCCTCACTTGGAGTCAGAGCAGAGTAGAAAAGCATCTGTCATCAAATGTGACAAAGGCCACTGCCCTAGTTAAACTGTTGTGAACTGGGGCACTTGCGTCTGAGTAATTCAGGACTTTTATTTTCAGCCCATGTCCCCAATCATTCCTGTTGAAATGAAGGCCATCTCTTGCCACTAAATGTGCCTTTTGCCCTTAGTAATAATCTGCAACTTTCATCCAAACAGTAAAGACAGAAAAATGGAAAATGTTACATTCTCAGATAAAGGAAAAAAAGATATATTTCTCATTGTGCACTCCAAATGTGTTTTCTTTCACTTTCTCATTTGTTCTGTAACAGATTTTACTGACTGCAGATACATTTCACAAAGTATATAATAAATTTAAAAGGAAAATATCTTCATTCCACACAAATCCATACAATGTATACAACTCTTGGAATTGGGGGAAGAGAATGATATTTTGTGAAATTTTTTTACACAAATGCTAACTAGATCTAAATGTGCATCATTCATTTCAATTACAGTTCAGAAATGAACCCAGGAGTCATACAGGTACCACTATAATCCACTTAGACATTCTGGATTCTTCTATCTTTTTACAGTATATTTTTTGCCTAGGTGAAGCCCATTGGCCCTGTCTAGTATTGGCCAAGATGAAAAAGAAAAGATAAGCCTTAGTAGAATGAACAGTAGACACGTTGCTGCTTAGTTACAGACAGTGTTATGTAGTGATTATGGGCTCTGGAATCAAGCTTCCTTTATTCAAATCCTAGTCGTTGGCTGTGTAACCTTTGCCAAGTGATTTAGCCTCTCTGTAACTCAGTAGCCTCACCTGTTAAATGGAGGTGATGATAAGTGCACTTCATAAAATTACAGTGAGGACTAAACATGAGCTAATAAATGTAAAGCATCCAGGCCAGCCCACGGTAAATCCTCAGTAAATATCAAAATTGTGAAAACTTACTGTGTGTATTTTCTCCGTCATGATTCTTCCAAAACATTTGTTAGTTACCAAGCATTCAATTACAGAGATGAACAATAATCTACTTAACAATTGTCATAAAGTTTTAGAATTTTTTTCCAATTTTTCACAGTTATATATTTACCTAATTTTTCAGATTAACCTTAGAATCAATTTGTCAACTTTCTAAAAAAATGCCTCTTGGATTTTAACTGAGATTATATTAAACATACACATTTATTTGGGGGAGATTCGCTTATGAAGTCCAATCTTCTCATCCAGGGATATAGTTTATCTTTCTGTAAATTTAAGTCTGCTTAAAATAAACCTCTAATGTTTTGTAATTATTTTCATATAAATCATCTGTATTTCTTTGTACATTAATTATTCGGTGTTTTACAACTCTGTCATTAGGAACTATTAAATATAATTTACTCTTATTTCTTGCTGTTATGGAATATTTAGTAGTTTCTTTATGTCACTTTTAAATATAGAGGTTATAATTTTTCACAGTAAAAAATATCAAACCTTTACTGTGTATGACTGTTTTTATACACAGGAAAACATCAACTTACATGCTGAATTTAGAGCAATTTTTAGTTTTATCTTTTAAAAAGTAAAAGCACTTTCCAAAGAGGAAAAAAAATTAGGTGGCTCATGCCTGTAAGCCCAGCACTTTAGGAGGCCGAGGCGGGTGGATCACGAGGTCAGGAGATCGAGACCATCCTGGCTAATACGGTGAAACCCTGTCTCTACTAAAAATACAAAAAAATCAGCCGGGTGTGGTGGTGGGTGCCTGTAGTCCCAGCTACTTGGGAGGCTGAGGTAGGAGAATGGTGTGAACCAGGGAGGCGGAGCTTGCAGTGAGCCGAGATCACACCACTGCACTCCAGCCTGGGTGACAGAGTGAGACTCTGTCTCAAAAAAAAAAAAAAAAAATAGGTCCATAATATAAGTATACTTCTAAGCAAAGGGGTGATTTTACAGAGAAATCATTACGATAAATGGCATTCTTGCTTTACCATGAAGGATCGCAGCCCGAATAGAAAGATCAAGAACTTAAGAAAATTCTGTGCTAATTAATATGTCTATTAATGGATTATTAGACCATAACAGTCTAACATTTACTACAATCCTGCCTTCTTTTCCACATACTCCTACCTTAGAATTCTTCTCATACTTCTTTAATTATTCCATATTAATTGATTGCTTATTGTTTATTTTTGTCCACTGCCAATGTATTTCCATTAGAGCTACAACCTCCAGCTGTCTTGTTCACCACAGTGACCAACCAATGTCCAATCACAGTCTCATTCATTTATGTATTCATTAATTGAATAAACAAATATTAGTCTCCTATTCCTTATCAGGAACTGTTGCATATAGACAAGGTCTTTGACCTCAGAGTGTTTATTTTCTGTGGATTTGGGGGAGGATAGAAAGCAAATAACCAAATAAATAACATAATTTCAAGTAATTATAACAGCTACCGCATAGGGTGGACTGAGCAAATCTGGGTGGATGTACTGTTGGAAAAAAAAAAAAGCCAGTGAAGGCCTCTCTGAGTTGGTAACATATGAACGGAGAAGTGTGACATGAAAGATCTGAGGGGAAAACGTTGCAAGAAGACTGAATTTCTATAAAGATCCTGAGGTGGATAAACTTGGTGGTTTGAGAAGCAGCAATAAAACCAGTGACCAAGACAGAGAATGGAAGGAGATGATGTCACAAAGTCAAGACACAGTGAGATTGTGCAGGCAAGGCCTTCTTGTGTCACACTTTCCAAACTTAGTTGTGCATGTAAATCATCTGGAATCTGGTTAAAATGCACACTGATTCAGGAAGTCTGGGCCAGGGCCTGAGATTCTGAATTCCTAATAAGCTTTCAAGGGATGCTAATGCTGTTGTTCTGGGGACCACTCTGAAAAGGAATCTTCTGAGTTATAAAAAGGAGGTTGAGTTTTATTGTAAATATGAATAAAAGCCATGAGAGGGCCTTGGGATGACATAATTGCTTTTCATTTTCAAAGGATCGCACTAGTGTGTAGAAAAGCCTGTGGAGGTGAAAGCGTGGAAGCAGAAAGCCAGTTAGGAAACTGCTTCCGTGAGGCAACAGAGGAGGGTGGTTTGGAGTAGTCTGAGCAATGAAGGAGCCCAGGACACACGGTGACGTTTGGGACATGTTTTGATTACATAGTCAAAATAATTGATAGACTAGATGTTGGATGTGAAAGTCAGAGTAATCAAGACTGTCTAGTATTAAATGGACCAGTGAGTGACTTGTGGTTCTTGTTATAAAGATGAGAAAATATGGAAGAGGGCCAGGTAGGACAGGATAGAAGTCAAGGGTTTGGTTTCAGATATGCTATTATTGAGTATCGTATTAACGATCAAATAGAAATATTAAGTATAAGTTGTGTACATATGTTAAGAGCTTAGGGAAGAGTATTGAATGTAGATGGAAATTTAGGGGTCATTCGATTTTGAAGTTATCCAATAAAATGAGCTCATCTAGCAAGGGAGAATTAGAGAAGATATTTAAGTCTGAGAAGAAGAGGAAAGGTCAGCCAAGGAGACTGAAAAGAAGCTACTTGTGAGGTAGGAAAATAATTCAAGAACATGTGACACTCTAGAATTTAAGTGAAGAAGTGCTTCAGCATAGTGGCTAATGGAGATTGGGTAATCAAATAAGTATCTGTCAGGGTTCAGATGAAATGAAACTGAGAATTGACCACTGAATGTTGCAAGACATGGGCATTGTTGCTAACTTGACAAAGGTGGTCTTGGTAAATAGGGTGATAAATTATTGCCTAGAATGTAGGAAAGCAAGAATGAGAAATGATAAAGTAGAAGGAGAGACAATAGAAAACTCCTTCAAGAATTTTTGCAATAAAAAAAGAGAATGAGCCATAACTGGAGAAAGATGTTAAATCAAAGGAGTTTTATTTTAAGATAAGAGTTTTTGAAACATGTTCATGTGCTGACATAAATGATAGGTGATGAGAAAATATGGATTATGCAGGTGGAGGGGCTGGCCGTGGAGAGAAGAGAGAGATGAGAAGAAAATAAGAGTATATATGGGTAAAGGTGCATGTAAGTTGAGAGAGAAGAAAGTGGGAAGATAAGCACTTTTCTTCTAGATGATTCTGTTTTGCAATAAAATAAGAATAAACAAACAGTAGAACATGAGGAAGGAGTGTTGGGGATTTGAGCGGCGAAAAATTTGTGTGATATATTCATCTCAGATAGCATGGAGGCAAATTTAAGAGAATGTAGTGGGATTCAAGGGTAGTACTGAGGGACCATTTAAGGCATGGTAATACAATAAATATGAAGTGGGATTTCTTCTAGTAACATTCACCTACTTAGGGAGAAAATGGCAAGGTTGCTGAGGATACATGCAAGAAAGAAATTATAGTAATGAGCCATGGCATCTAAACCAAGTAAGAAGGAAGTGAGGGCTTGAAAAAGCGGTGAGTCAATGCATTATTTAAATGAGACTGAAGAATAGTTATTAAAGTAAGTGAATAGAGAGGCAAGAGGTTCTTTGATTCTTTAGGTAAGTAAAACCCTGTATAACATACCCCTGAACTCTCCAAAGGTGCAGAACAGTGGAACTTTAGCCACAGGCACACAGTTTGAGCTGTCATGAAAGTTTCTGAAAAGGCTTACTAGAGATTTCCTTTTAGTACACATATGATTTTATTTACTTATGTTTCTCAGAAATACACCTATTGAGAAAGGCAGGGTTGATCAGTACAGCAACTGTATCCCTTTTTATTTTAAGTATTTTGAAATGTTTTAATGCACCAAACTCAAAAGCAAAACATCATTCAAATCAATGGGCTATTAGAGCACCACCCTTAAGTGCTGCTTTGTCTCTCTGCTTATTACTCTTTCAAAAGCAATAAAACAAAAATCATATCATCAAATTTGAATGTTAATTTATTTCCAAAATAATCTGGACAGCAAGCAAATAGAGTCTTGAAATGCTGTCTCAAACATTCTTTAGAAAATTGTTAGGAGGGCAAAAAGTCCATAAAGTAAGGCACAAGGGTAGGCAACAAGAAGTTGCTGTCCTTCCATGTGCAAGGCTGCAATGAAGATCTTGGAAGCTGAGAGACTACACCAGCCAATGATGACCAGGGATGATACGGTTCCAAAGGTGCCCCTGCAGCAAAGACAAAGAGATGATTGCCTGTGACAGTAGAAAAGAGATCATTGAGTTAAAGTTGTCTCCGAAATATCCTCAGTACAATATTTATAACTACTTTTTCCAGTGGTAAAATGAAAATCATGAAATATATGAACAAAAGCCCTTGGCCAGTAAGGCGTTTTTTAGTCAAATTCATTACAGAGGCTAAATATTTTATATTTCTGTTAAACCTGAATTAGAAAAAACAGTAGAAGTCACCTGTAGTCACTCTCCTCTCATCTGTCAATATTCAAATCCTAACTCCTAGAATTCTCTTAAATACAGCATTGAGAGCCTTCACATCCTTATAGCTATAGATTTCCTTTCCCCTACTTGTCTCAAAAATTGGCCAATGGTATGGGAGAAGGATAGACAGAGTTACATTCCAGTGGGGTGCCTAATTCTCGCTACTTTCAGATCTACTTCTCAGGTTTTTGTCGGACATCACAAAAAGCCTGACACAGCTCAAGTAAGGAGCACATGGGACAGGAAAGCACATATGTGTGTGGCTTCCCACTTCATCCTTGAAGCTCCATTTTGTATATTTTTAGAATGTTGAAATAGATTTGTTCAACTGGTATCTTCAAAAAGTAACTGTGGAGGCAAGTGAGCAAATAAGATAGTCAAGTCTGGTCACTTGGAGTATAATAAGGCAGGAAAGGTGGTCAAGAGTGAATTTCCTTTCTTATGTGCTAAACAGAATGCATTATTTAGAAAAATAAAACATGAGAGCTGGGAGAAATCTCAGGAGATGTCTACAGCCCAGTTTTAAAGCAATAAAGTGATGACAAAAATTGCATGGTGAAGTGGACAACAGGTCAAGGATCTCTCCTATCATAGCACTCTTTTCACCACCAAACTAAACTGCCTTACTTGATCTTGGTTTGACTCTGAAGTTGGGAATTGTGTTTATTATTTGTGAAAATGACAGAAATATCTACTTCTAATAATTGAACGAAAGCAAAACAAGTGAAAAGCTCTATAGTATAGCTTCTAATGCCTCAGACTATTAATAAACCAAACATATTTTAAAAACACCAAATAAGTACTACATTTATTGATTTAAGTAATACCTATTAGAGATAATTTCTAGAGTTGTTTAATGTACTGTATTGTTAGTAATGGTCTTGGGTTGCACATACTAATTGCCTAAATTAAGGAAGAAAAAAAAATATTGACTGAGCATGTATGTTATAAAATTCTCCAACATTAATATCCTCATCAGGGTTCCTGGGAATTCTACCCGGCAAGGAGCCCAGCTGAGAAAGAATAGCTGTTTTCAGCCCAGAAGGCAGAGTGCCTGAAAGCTGAAGCAATTTATCAGTGTTCACCAGGCACTTACTCTTCCAAAATCAAACAAGTGAATTTCCTGTAGTTGTTATTTTACACATGACGATAGTTCACATTGAAAAATGTGACACCTTAAAAAGTGCCAGTTTTTTTTTTTTTTTTCTTTTCTTTTATTTATTTATTTTTTTTTAGATGGAGTTTTGCTCTTGTTGCCCAGGCTGGAGTGCAATGGGATGATCTTGGCTCACTGCAACCTCCGCCTCTGGGTTCAAGTGATTCTCCTGCCTCAGCCTCCCAAGTAGATGGGATTACAGGCCTGCGCCACCATGCCTGGCTAATTTTGTATTTTTAGTAGAGACAGGGTTTCTCCATGTTGGTTAGGCTGGTCTCGAACTCCCGACCTCAGATGATTCACCCACCTCGGCCTCCCAAAGTGCTGGGATTACAGGCACAAGCCACCGTGCCCAGCCAAAAAGTGCCAGTTTTAAAGATAATTTGGATTAATTTATTTTTTAAGTAACTGAAGTAAGAACAGCACCTGGGCCAAAACTGACCTACTTTTCTGAATCTATGTGTAGCTTTTAATAGCCATGCTTTTCCCAGTTCCACTACCAAAACAATCAGAATGGGCTTAACTTTTGCATGACTGTGGCAAACCCTGGCTATGATTGTGCATGTGAGGTCAATGAGAGCACACCGACACTTACTGCAATGAAAAGAACATGGCGCAGCCAGACAGGATGACCATGGGGAGCAGGCAGTAACCCAGCACGCTGGCCACACAGCCATATGACACCCCTGAAGAGCTCATCAGATTCAGTAAGGCATGAATCACAAGGCAGCCAATGGCACTCATGCCATACACATAACCAAACTGAACTTTTCCTGCCTGAAGCGACGTGGGGAAAAAAAAAAACAAAACCAGTTTGAACACACAATGGACACCAAGAGGAAATCTGAATATTACGAAGCAGAGAGCGTGTTAGAGTCAGTTCAGTGCTGTTTCCTGTCTTTGTAGGACTGTCATCAGGAGACTGGCAGTTCTGGGAAAAACATGGCCAATGGTTTGAATTCAGATTCTGAAAATAAACACTTCTGACTAGAGTTAGGATGGAATAAGCATGCTACAAAGAAGATAGAATATTTCTAGACTTATTTTTTATTATAAATTGTCTATTAAGAGTACAAGGCATAAGTAAGACTATATTTTGTCCACATATTTATTAAATAATTACGTGATTGAATAGAGGAATAAAAAATCCAATTTTAGTCTTGGGGATTTATAAGGCATATTAGTAAAATTAGCAAGCATCTACAGGATTTACCATGTTGGATCCCATTCTAAGTGTGCCACATACATTTATTTAATCCACATAACCACCTTATGAAATAAGTATCATAATTACACCAACTTTACACATGAGGGCACTGAGATGCAGAGAGGATAAGTAACTTGCCCAAGGTAATATAACGGTAAGCAGTGGAGGTTGGCTTTGAACCTAGGTATTTCAGCTCTAAAATGTAGGTCCTGAACATCAACGGGAGCTCTTACAAGTCCTAAATAAGTCCCAAAATAATGGCACATATTTAACCCTATTTAATTTAGCACTCAGTTGAACACAGAATCCTTTTATGTTTCATGATACCTATTGCCAGGTTGATTAACCACGCCTTATGAAAGGGTGATTTATATAAACTAACTGCTAATGAATCATAAAAGGTGTACTGTCAAAGGAAGTTAGTAGTGTTCAGAGTACACCACCAATCTTCTGAGGAAAACTCATAAAAACAGCCATTGCTCACAGAGCTAGTATTTTGTGAGTACAAGCCCCAGTAAATGCATTCAGAGAAAATCACAGCATACTATTACTTCAAAAGAGGATATTTTAATGTTTGCTTTCTGAGAATACCAAAGCTACAGTTAAAAATTCATTAATTTTTTATATTTACATTATGCTGATCATAACTTCTAGATAAAAGTTGAATAGGCTGTCTCTGGTTTTCATGGGAATTAGACAAAAACAGTGAAGGATCTGATAAATTGATTCAGGAAAGAAAGAGCTTTTTAGCTGCCACTTTTCCTTCTCCATGCTATTATCTATGAAGTCTTTTAGAGATATTTATTTTACAATTAATCAGGGTAATGGAGAATGCCATAGCTATTTTAATGTTCAAAATTGTTCACCTATTCCGAATTCTTCTTCCTCTGCAGTTGGAGCGTTGATCACTACGAAGTCCTTTCGTAAATATTCCTGACTTTTGCTGGCAGAATTGTCTCCAGCATTAGCCACTGATAAATTCTTATGATATCTTCTGTATTCTTGTGGCCATTTAATGAAATAATGCTAACAATGGACATGCTAGCAGAAACACATCAGCTATCCACTGCTTTATTGGGTGAGTTTGCTCCCCTTGCAAAATAAAGACAATTTCACATCATTGTCATGCATTAGAGAAACCATCTACTTAATATTTTACTTGGATGGGATAAATATGAGGTAGGGCTAGTCCTAATGGTATAGGACAACTCTCTTACACCCAAAGGACACCTAACTGCACCTTCCTGTCCTGAAAAGGCAGTTCTAGAAATGGAGTGGGGCAAATAGGGAGTAGATGAAGCTAATTTCGTAGTAAAGTTGTGTGTTTTCATATCAGTTATGAACTTCTCTCATCGTGTCTTTCTTTGGTAGTTTGTCCAATTTAAGTTGTAATTCCATTTAGCCTAAATCACTGCCATTTTAAAGAATTGTCTCAAATTCTAACAAGGGCTTATAATCAAAATAGAAAATAAATGTTCTATTTTTTTAACCTCAAAATTTTTAAGGATCCTCCCTATACCATCCTCATTACCACATCGTGATTTAAAATACTTGGTGTTCTTCTGATTGCACTTTTAAATTGGCCATGCATGTTGCTTTTTCAGACCACACTCTTGGCCCTACCAGAAAAGTTAAATGGAGCAAAAGCTTTAAACCATTTGTCTTCTTGGTGTTGGAAATGAAAATAATTTGGGGGAAAAGAATAAGTAAAACTAAATTTGTGCTAAGTGCTTGAAGCTTTCTTTGGTTTGTCTCCTTTTGCCTGAAGAAAGTCCACTGAAAGAATGGCGTCTTATGTCAGCATGAATCTCAAAGAAGGAAGCATATGTGACTATAACTCTTATGACTCCAGAGATGATAAACAGATTTGGATATTGATTCTGGATTTCGTTTGCTTTCTCTAGTAAAATTCCTGTATCAGCCAGTAAAATCACTCTTACATTTTAATTCTACATATCCAGGAAAGAATTAACCTATAATCAAATGCATTCTGAGTTAAATCATACTTTAATTAATATTCAGTTGGAGTTTTGGGGGAGTCCTTTTTGCTCTATATCAGAATCAATTTGAAAGTTATCATATCTAATGGTAAAATTTCAAGTGATAAGGTTTGCATAAAGACATTCAGAAAATACATATTTTCACATATTCTACACAATTTTAGAACTAAATAGAACCTGAAGAGCTACTTAAATAAACTCCTTTTGCCTTGAAGAAAATGAAATGAAAGCCTAGAAACATGAAGCCGAAGGTTAAAGATTACAGCAAGTGGCAAAGCTAGGGTAGATCCAATTTTCTCGCTTCCAGTTAAGAATTTTTGCCTCTATTGCTTTGTATTTAAAATATAAGAAGGGATATGTAAATAACTCTAACTAACATTATGCATCCAAGAGAGATCATAATGGAATTGATGCTGTTCTTTAAGGGATGGTAACAGTGATGTTCCGCTACAGAACAAACAGCTGTTTTATTACAAATGACTTGAAAAAGAAAGATGAGTTAATATATTAAATTGATTGTTTCTGACTATTTGATTAATTGACATGGCCTTACTTAGCAGTTAATCTAAGATTATCAAATTACTGTGACAAAGACAGAAGAAGGGAGGTTAGAGACTAAATTAAAACTCTAGTTGATATAGTGTTTGATTTACAGAGTATTTGCACTTGCTGTAGTACAAAGAAGTAAGATGTTATCACTAAATACTATTGTATTGGATTAACATGATGTTATTATTGGCCTAATTACCTGTAGAAACTAGATTGCTATCAGCATTTTGATTGATTATATATAATAATTGAAAAGCAGAATTTTATTTAGTTGCAAATGCATTTTACAACTACTTTTGAAAATTGTATATCCACTGGAAGAAATTATTATTATGGAACATGAAGAGCAGGAAAATGGGGAAAAGGGCTAAATAGTTATTGTAAGAGCTTTTCCTATAATGTTTAATTTCTCATATTATTTCTTCTGCCTAGTTTATCTCTTTGTGTCTTAATGAAACAACATTTTTCAGACTGCCTTGGCCATCTTTATCATTCTCTGTTTTTATTGTATTGCCATCTCCTCCTTGGTATAAAGTGAGAGAGAGACATTTTCTCATTTTTTTCTTATTCCTTTTTTTTTTTTTTTTCCTTTTTTTTTTTTTTTTAAATGAAACATTTTCCTAAACTATGAGCTAGAATGTCTTTTAAACTTTACTTAGGTCATGTTTTTAGTGACCCTTAATACCATTACTTCCAGATATAAAGAATGAAAGCATGCATAAGACATATGGTGAAGTCGGGGAACAAATGTCTTCATAAAATGTGGAAAACTAACATTTTAGAGGAAATATGTAGGCTGAGTAAACAAATCATAGGTTGTCATTGCAAATTAACTTTTTCCTAGTAGCCTAACCCAAAACAAGGAGATCAGTCTCGTACCTCATAAGATGTTAGAAATAGTCTGGAGATTTATCACAGCAAAGAAAATGGTGACCAAAGAGAAGTGACTTGTTCAATGTCACAATAGAACTCTCACAAAAAACAAAAAATAAAATGTAGGCCTTATATCTCCCAAATCTGTTTTCCTCCCATTATTCCAGATTTAGTCTTTTCTTAATAACAAAAAAGACATAAGTGATCTCCTACTTTGATTTCCTTCTTGATTTTTGAAATTCTTACACTTTTTAGCTGTTGCAGTGCATAATGGTAGCATATTTTTGTCACTATGGTTAAATTATTCTCTCTCACTTAACAAAATTCACTATGTAAAGTGACACAGTTTCTATTATATTTATACATATTGCTTCAAAACCAGCACTGGCAAGGACAAGCATTAAAATCTGGTGCTTACTGTGACACATTACCAGAAGCAAGGTGGCTCCCAGGGCTATACAAAAAAGAATGGGTCCAGTGAGGTCCGTTTCATTCATAATACTGCCATCTGCTGGCTTCATTGGGTTTAACATTGTCCAAGTTTTTTGCCATATGTGATCAAAATGGATTCCAAGTTCTGTAAAAAGGAAAAAAAGATAGATAATATGATAATATAAATATAGAAAAATAAAAATAAGTTACATTCTTTAAAGGTTAACATATATGATTAACTTACTTAGCATTTTAATCTGATTGTTTTATCATACCTTCTGAAGTTCTATGTTCTGTATTACACAGAAACTCAAGTTCTATGTAACATACAAATCTTTAAAAAACAAACTAAAAAGTAATTTGGTTTCCAAAGAATGACTTAAAAGAAATGCGTTAGAGAAATATTTCCATCAAGGAAAACATTCCCTGATTTATGCAGCAAATACAAGCTTTAAATCTAATTAAAAATTGGGAAATTGGCAATATACAGTAAAAAATAAAATTGTAGCTAGCAGATCAAAAATTTCATCCTATTGTCCATCTAGATAGTTCCTTTTCCTGTATTTTCTTTTTTTAAAAAAAAAAAAATTCTTTTTTGAGACAGGGTTTCCCTCTCTCATCCAGGCTGGAGTGCAGTGGCATGATCCCAGCTCCTCCGCTCAGTCTCTTGTGTAACTGAAACTCATGTCTCAGTTGTGGCATGCACCACCACACTTGGTTAATTTTTTTTTTTTCATAGTGATGAGGTCTCACTACATTGCCCAGGCTGGTCTCGAACTCCTGGGCTCAAGGGACCCTCCTGCCTTGGCCTCCCAAACTGCTGGGATTACAGCCCTGTGCCACCGCACCTGGCCCTTTTCCTGTATTTTCAATTGCTGACACTTCTGTAATCCCGTCATATCAGCCATGGCATAATTTTTAAATTAGTAGTACTATACTAAACTAATGAGACTGAGTCCAAGTCCACTATGCCTAATGAGAAGAGCAATTTTATGCTAAATGAATGAAACTACACAGAGGGGAAAAGGGCTCTTTCTGCAAGTAAAAGTGATCATGATGTGCATGCATATTTTTGTAAGGTCAATGTACTGTGAAGCTGAGTCTATGTATTCAAAGATTAAATTCTTGAGACAAGTTAACCTTTCTCTTTTATACATGGTAGTATTCAAATAAAGTATCCAAAATCAGTGAAGTTCAGTGTTCATGAGTCCAAACCTATTTAGAAATTTCTAATTTTTTTAATCCAATTCCCACTTTTCAAAGACTTCTGACTGCTGCCTCACAGATCCTTCTGCTAGAATCTGCTTCTCTCATTACTATAAAGCAAATACCGAGCCATTTGACATCCCTTGAACATAGAAATAAGTATTGATACCACATTGGTTTCTTTTCCTACCACTCCTGTAGAGATCAACTAAGATGTATCTAGGGTAGAGAAAGAGAACATTCAAAGAGAAGAGTATGACTTCACTATTTAGGGACCAGCAATCAAATTGGTTATCCTCCTTCTATAATTTCAGAATGTCAGTAAGGGTGACGTGGAGGCTAGGAAGAATAAAAGCTAAAATTTACTGAGTGTTTGCTATGGACTTCACAAGATTTACATAAATTGGTCTTATAAATGCACAATCAATTGCTATTATTTTATCCCTATTTTATGCATCGGATATATAAGGCTTTGAGAGATTAATTTGTCTGAAGACACAAAGCAGTAATAGAAAACCTAGCTTTCAACGCTGCGCAATCTGACTCAAGAAAGCACGTGTTTAACCATAGAGTTGTGGTCGGGTCAATGTTCGTCTAATCTTACAATTTTTTTTTTTTTTTTTTTTTTTTATGAGCCCAATTCTTCCATGTGAAGGACTGTCTTCCTAAATGTATTTGTATGTGGCATGTAACTACCCTTCCAAGCTTTAGTAACTTTCTTTGGTCAGATACAGGGGTATAGCTCAACTTATTTTACAGAGGCACATACCACCTAAATACCTTGCAAAGCTGACCTTCTGTACACAGACTACAACACAGACTTTTAATAAACCCCATGACACAGAGGACCCTTGTTCTAACAACTCAGAAATTTTCAGAGGGTCAGCTAGACACTGGTCTAAACCAAGAAATAAAGTTTTATTCATTTCATGCCCAGAATGACACCTGTTATTTTAAGCTTAAAAAAATCGAATAGTTAAATTAATAGCAAATAATTTACATTTCCGCTTTCTTGTTTCATCCTTTATTTCCACAGTGCATTTGTATATTTATTAATGAACATACACTTTGAATAATATGAGCAGTTCACCAAGCTTAAAGGAGGTTAGAATGTCTAATGTAATTTTTGAAAGAGAAGAAGACTTTAAAAAATGAGACTTGCTATATATTTAAAATTAATTAATTTTAAATTAATTTCACCTGAAGCTTATGTTCTCAAACTTTATTTTTTAATTTTGGCATTTATGCTAAAAATACATTTTCAGTATTTACCACAATAAAGTGGTATTTAATTCCAAATACCTTTTCCTCAAAAAACGTAATTATTTTGGAAGAAATTCAGATGAAAAATGCTTTATGCAACATCATTACTGATGTCAACCATTTATTTAATGGCATAACTAACTCCTGCACATATTTTAACATCAAGCCATGAGACAGTAAATTAATATAAGCCCATATAAATATTTTCAAAATGAAAAATACTTTATGTGCTTTCTACTGAAATATCTCTATAATATTGTTTTTTATTTATTATAAGGTATGTGAGCAATTATAACTACTTATTAATTATAGATACTCTAATATAACATCTTATTGTACAAAATAAAAGAAGATAAAACTGCTGTAAAATTTGAATGCAAAATTTATTGTTTTGCTGCCATCTAGTGGTAGTAAAGTATATGATACATATGCTATAAAAGTGAATTAAGATCTCTATTTTCTATGAAAATTGTGGCATTGGCCTTTCATATAGAAGCGTCGAGCTATGCTATAAATACAACATACTAAATATTAGTAATTCTTCTTATCTGACAGGTTTGAATTTACTATTATTCTCAAAAATGCATTTAACATATTGATTTTACATTAAGAGCAAAATTTATCATTCTTACATAAAACCAAACAAATATTTTAGACAACAAAATATTTAAGAAATAAAGAAAGACTCTTTTGAAACAACATGCTTTTTGTGCAAGGAATGTTCATTATTATAGCTTGACAATTTTATAGGCCATTCTGATGGATGGTCAATAAAAACTAGTAAATGTTATTTAATGCGTTATCCTAGAAATTGTATCATTTTTTATATGTGAAAAAGACATATCATGGCCTTTTTCATATCTTTAGACAAAAGAGGCTTGAGGCTTTCACAAGTCACTCAGCTTGAAGAATACATTGGATCCAAAATCCAGATATTTCATAGATTCAAAACACAAAATTATATTAGGTACTCTATCTTCTAATACTGGGGTTCCCAAACTCAGGGCCATGGACCCATACCAACTTGCTCATGGCCTGTTGGGAGCCGGGCCACACAACAGGAGGTGGAGGTGAGCAGTGGGCGAGCAAGTATTACCACCTGAGCTCCGCCTCCTGCCAGATCAGCTGCATTAGTTTCTCATGGGAGCATGAACCTATTGTAAACTGTGCATGCAAAGGATCTAGGCTGCACACTTGTTAAGAGAATCTAACTAATGCCTGATGATCTGAAGTGGAAGAGTTTCATCCCAAAACCATCTCCCCAACCTGTCTGTGGAAAAATTGTCTTCCACAAAACTGTTCCCTGGTGCCAAAAAGGTTGGGGACTGCTGTTCTAATACACTGTATATTTTGGGGAAATTGACTCTGAGCTGTATAAAATGGAAATAAAAATCTATTACGTATTTTCTATTCAAATTGAAAGACATGCTAGAGGAGGATGTATAGAGAGAGGTAAATTAATGCAACAATAGAGACATTTCAGATAGTAGAAAAGATTATTTTCAATAAATGTTGCAGAAAAAAATAGTTAAGCAGTACAGAAAAAAATTAAATCTTACTTCACATATTAAGGTTAAACAACTATTGAATAATAATTTCAATATAAAGCAAAAAATACAAAAGGATAATTTTAAAATGTGAGCATCTATAAGGAGATAGAGGCAGTACCTAGAGCTGGAGAAATAGATTTTTAAACAAACAACAATTGGAAAGAAATGTTACTAGGAAACATATTCTGGGTTTAAAAAATTAATATCACACTTTTAATATGTCCCAATGACCCATAAACAAATCAGATGGCAAACACAAGCTAGGAAAAAAATGTTTAAAATACGTATTCTAGACAATAATTAATACGGTTACTATATAAAATGCCTAAAAAATAAACAAGGAAAGAAAACTCTTTAAATTCTATAGAAATCTGAACCAAAAAAACCGTGAAAAATAAAAAGTCAATACACATATGAGAAATGTCAAAATTTTTTTAGTAACCCAGAGGTACAAAGTATTCCTTTTTCCTTTTTTCCTATGAAATTGACAAAGACGTGTCATATTCTACTCTGGAAGTGGAGTAGAACACCATTTTTGACATCATTTGACAGTGTTAATACCTTTACCCAGCAATCCCACTGTTATGGGTACATCCTAAGGACAGACTCTACAAAGGTCAAAGATGGCAAAGCATTACTTGCTACAAGGAATAACCTTTAAGGTGTGTTTAAATTATGGTTATGTTATATAATAGAGCTATATGAAACCATTATAAATTGTTTTCAAATAATATTTAATGACTTTAAAGAATGTTTGCATAGAAGTGCTCGTGACAGGCTGGACACAGTGACTCATGCCCGTAATCCCAGCACTCTGGGAGGCCGAGGCAGGCAGATCACCTGAGGTCAGGAGTTCGAGATTAGCTTTGACAACATGGCAAAACCCTGTTTCTGCTAAAAACACAAAAATTAGCCATGCACGGTGGTGTGCACCTGCAGTCTCAGCTACTCAGGAGGCTGAAGGAGGAGAATCGCTGAAACCCAGGAGGCAGAGGTTGCAGTGAGTCGAGATTGGGCCACTGCACTCCAGCCTGGGCAACAGAGTGAGACTCCATCTCAAAAAAAAAAAAAAAAAATGCTCGTGACATAAAGTAAATAAAAAGAATGCAATACTTAAGTACTCAAA